TATCAATTTTAACTATATATTTATTTATTGTTTTCATCTGTTGTAAGCTGCCCAGAGTCCCCCACTGGGGGGAGATGGGCAGGGACAAGTTTAACAAATAAATAAATAAACTGGAAGTGTTACTGCTAAGATTGGAATGTTCCCACTCCCACTTTGGAGTGGGAACATACAGATGAAGGTTGTGGGGGACTAAATGTTTCCCTAAATGATCTTTTCAACCAGAGCAACAGGAAAATGCTCTATTTACAGACATCTGCTTTCTTGCTTAACTGTGAATCCACAGATCCATGCAGTAACGTTCATAATGTCCTATGTTGGCCTTAAGATGAAAAAAAGTGAAGGTGTGAACACGGAGATGGAAGGGACACTTGAATATTGCATGTTTGCACAGAAGGACAACAATACAAGAAATAACCAAGGCAACCAGCTATAATATGGTTTTTGATCCGTTTTGGACACGGAATGCCCTGTTCCCAAATGACAAGGTAACATCTAAACTAGCTACGTGTTGAAGCCATTTAAACCTGTTGAGGTATAAATGATAAGAGATCAAAACACCAAAATACTTCATTTGGTAATTGGAAAGAAATGTGGCAGTTTCCCTCCTCCCACATTTGGGCCTACTGATTTAATAAAGCGGGTTGATTGGGGAAGAAACTCAACTAGAAATTCAAATACTATTTTCTTCCCTGAAACAAACAGATCAGGGACTAAAGAAATGATGGTTTAATAGTATGATTAGGAAGCATTTCATGCTGTCTTAGTATTTGAATTTCTAGTTGAGGTTCTTCCCCAATTAATCCGTTTTATTAAATCAGCAGGCCCAAATGTGGGAGGAGGGAAACTGCCACATTTATTTCCAATTACCAAATGAAGTATTTGTCTTACTTTGTTTCATTGTGTATTTCGTGCGCATTTAAATAAAGACATCCAAGTCAGAGATGCATGTTCCAAAGGAAGTTCCGGATTCTGAATTTAGGCAACTGGAGGGTTGGAAGAGCTGGAAGCTATGCCACGCCACGCCACTTCTGGCCAATGAACCCAACTTCTCCCTATGTCCTGGGATGGGTTGTGATGTGTTCTGCAGAGATACCAGGAGGAAATACACCCTGAACATGTTCAGGAAGATACAGCGTGTTTGAAACCGGCCACTTGTCTAGGATGTATCCGCACAACACAGTAAACCATAATGAACAAACTTCAATGGCTGCCTGGACGAAACAAGTCATCTTATGGTTTAAAATGATGACCCGGTTCATGCCACAAGCTATCGCATAATTTGCTTCGTCACTGCGGTTTGAAAAGGATGGTTTCAAAGTGATGCAAGCCCAGCCGGACTTAACACACAACAGGCTGCCCCATAATGACTGGGTTGGGTTGGATTCACTGATTTGGGCACGGCGCGCGGCGGGAAGCCGCTTACGGTGGCTTACAGTACTTACACTGGGATCACACCATGGAGACCTGTGCTAGGTCAACCAGGCTTCAGGACGAGCGGGAATTCACACGACCCGCTTAACCCGGCCACGGGTTCCGAGCTCGCCTAGGCCACCCAGCCGCAAACGGCCCCAACGGGGCCCCCAGGAGACAGAGCGGAGCTGAACCGGACGCAGCTCCAGGTCTGCGGAGGCCAGCTGTGCAGTGACTCCTCCGCGCGGGCAGGGGCCGCTGTGGGCACCGCCGAGGGTCACCTGCAGCCGCGCCGGTCTTCTTCCGCCTCGCGTCGAGGCGC